TTGAGAGTAGAAAACCTTGGGCAAAACCGCGACCTTTCACTAAGTCAAAAGTGAGTCTCGGGTGATGCTTGTTGCGTGTTTAATTAAATTACAAGTGATGTTCGTTGCTGCGTGATTTATATTTTTGCTAAGTACTTAAAAGTTTTAGCATGTGAAAATTACTAAGTTTGATTGTTGATGCATATTTATAAGTTTCCTTATAACCTAAGTTGATAGTAAGACTTATAAATTATGATGATCGCGGTAAGACGTTCCCTTGAAAGCCATGACTTAGCTAGTACGTTGAGTATTAGTCTAAGTACATGAAGACAAGGAGAGACGGGATTGCAGCCTTTGGCCGTGTACTGCATGTCGATGCAGAATTTCCGGTGCGGATCTTTATACACATAAGGCCATTGGAACGGTGAAGGATCTTAAGTCTTTAGCCTATGTGGCTTCAGGCTGAAGGATACCTTGTGATTTGACGTGAAGGGAAATAGTCTACGCGAAAGGCCTTATATTGATATTGCATAACTTATCGCATTTTTTTTGTTAGATTTGCTTGCTTGCGTGTTGATTGTTATTTTGGGTTTGGTTGGGAATTGATTATTGAATATTAGGGAAGCCTAGGCTCACTGAGCAACTAGTGCTCACGACTCTACTTGTGTTGCAGGTAACCATTAGCAGGTAGACCACCGGGAGCCAAAGGAACGTTAGGAAATTCAACAGTAGATTTCCTTCCCTTTTGTAAATGAATAATGTTTATTATGTACATGATCATTTTGGAGTGTTAAACTCACAATTGTATATGCTTGTATCACGTTTAAAACTTATGTATAAATTATATATAAATAAAAATTGAGTTTGCTTAAATTCGGGTTTCATGTGATACTAGTCCTTGTCCAGACGAACTAACCATTGTGTATGTCTCGGGTTGGCAAGCCTTGAGATGTATCTAATGGGGATGGACGCTTAGAATCTTGTCTAGGGAATTTGGATATGTTCCAGGAACCTCTGATCGGATATCTAAGTGTTCGTCWGTAGCGTTTCCGGTCTATAAATGATCGGAGGCGTTACACTTGTCATTTTGGCAGCTTCGTCGCGCAGTCCGTCTAGCCGGATTAGTCGCCTTGGCATGCAGTCTGTCTTGTCATACTAGTCTGCTCGTCACTCAGTCTGTCTTGCCCGACTAGTTAGCTCGTCACCCAGTCTGTCATGCCAGACAGGTCGTTTCGTCACCTAGTCTGGCTGTCACCTCGTCACCTAGTCTGTCTTGCCAGACATGTCGTTTCGTCACCCAGTCTATCTTGCCAGACTGGTCTTTTCGTCACCGAGTTTGGCTGTCACCTTGTGATGTGGTGGGTTATTCAAGTTTTAAATTTATAACCCTAGATAAAG